GAATCCCTGTCCTAGTCTCAATGACTGCTGCCTTTCAGTTGTGACTGATACAGTTAATTAAGCCAAGGAAATCAGAACCTAAAGTTTACAGCAGGTGTTGGTAAAGGGTTGGGTCTGGAGAGATAGTACAGCTTCCCTCGCATGTGTTTGGCCTGAGCTGGATACCCAGCATGTGTATGGTCCCGAGTCCTGCCAGGAGTTATCCTTGAGCACCACCAAGTGTGGGCCAAAAATAAACAAATAATCTTTTCCTAGTTAAAACATGAAAAATAACTAGAGAAGGATGTTTACTTTACTTCAGTATATTATTAGAAGTTCCATAAACGCCAAGACTAAAACAGATTACAGAAGAAAAGATTTGAAGGTAGGAAATAAAACTACTCACAAATAACGTTTTTACATAGAAACCTTTCCAAACTATATATTATTATAAATCATAATTTAACAGGGTATTTAAAATAAGATCAATACAAAAGTCAATTGCTTTTCTATACTCAGTAGACATCTAGAAATATAACTAAACATCACTTATAACAGAGTCAAAGGCTATCATTTTTATGTCCAGCAATAACTCCGACACCAATATTAACAACTTCTTCACACTGAAGATTATGACACAGAATAAAATAAATAAATCTGTATCATGGTTGTGGATAGGAAAACAATCTTATAAAAATCAGGTTTCCTCAGTGACTTGTAGATTTAATAAAATGCCAATAAAATTTTAATGTTTTTATGGTAGTACTGTAGCACTGTCCTCCTGTTGTTTATCAATTTTCTTGAGCGGGCCCAGTAGCATCTCCATTGTGAGACTTGTTGTTACTGTGTTTGGCATATCGAATACATCATGGGTAGCTTGCCAGGCTTTGCCATGCGGGTGAGATACTTTTGGTAATTTGCCAGGCTCTCCAGAGCCAGGAGTAATCCCTGGGAACCACCAGGTGTCCACCCCTCCCATATATATAGTGTATATATATAATATTGTATTCCCATTTACACTGCATACACAAATCAAGTAAAAGAATATAATTGGTCAGTAAATATATGAATAAATGTTAGCTATCTCTGGTGAGATGCAATTTTATAACAGTCATTTACCAAAAATTATAGATGTGACTCCATAGTACCTTTTGTATATTGTAGGTGACAATGTAAATTGTTAATGTAATTACACTTAGAAGAAATTTAGCATTATCAAAGTTAAATGTTCGCTTATATAAAGATACAATGTTCTTGAAATAAGTATTAACATGTATGACTATAAATGTTAACAACCATGTAAATTATGAAAGAATACATTCACATAGCATACCATTTTTTTTAAAAGTTTAAAACAACTAAAGTCCGATTTTCTTAAGAACATACTTGCATATGCACCTTTGAAACCATTAAAGCAGTTAAGATAATGAAAATATCTCCCCCACTCTTCTTATATTCATTTGCAGTTCTTCCCTTTCGCTCCTTTACCACCTTGACCTTTATTCCTCAACTACTGCTCTACACTCTGCTGGTTTAGTTTACACTGTCCATATTTTAACATAAATGGAAAGCATGCAACATGAGTATTTTATTTTTAATCTGGCTTCTCTCATTCAGCATACTGGTTTTGGAATTCATCCATGTTTTTATGTGTATCAGTAATTGGTTCCTTTCTATTGACAAATAGAATAATATGACATTACCTGCTTATCCCACACTTTGTGTTCCTTTTAACTTTCCTTTTAACTGATCAATGGCAGTTGGGTTTTTCCCAGCTTGGGGCTATTATCAGAATGCTGTGGACACTTACATGTGAGTCTCAGGCAAATACCTCAGGAATGAGGCATTGAGTCATATGGTAGATATATATGTATATATAAGTTTTTTTTTAATGTAGAAATACTGCTATTTATTCAGCCACTGATTAGGCTGATTGAATTGGGCATGAACTCCACCTTACTTTTTTTTATTTTTTATAATTTTATTTATTGAATCACCATGAGAGCAGTTATAAAGCTTTCGGGTTTAAGTCTCGGTCATACAGTGAAACACCCGTCCCTTCACCAGTGCCCCTTCACCACCACCAAAAAACCCAGTATATCCCCATCCCGCACCCTCCCCCTACCTGTGGGCCAGATGATTTCCACATTCCTCTCTCTCTACTTTGATCTCAACACCAGACCCACCATTATTTTTTGGGATTTTACCCCAACACTCGGATCTGCCAAAAAAGCAACAGTAGACAATTTGTTTTCTAATGCTGGTTATGAATAACATATGATGTTGTGTGGATGCAGTAGTGGCCATGTGATTTTGAAATTCTGAAATTTTTACAAATCTGAAGGAATTTCTGCCAAAACCTGTTGGATTCCGAGATTTGTTTCTGAATCTCTTGGATCATGGCTGTTAAGCAGCTTGATCAGGAACCAGAGAGGCCATTCGTGGGCGACAACTCAGAGTCTCCTTGGGGCAGGGAGGAAAGGGCCGGCTCCACCCCCATACTGTGAGACCCTGCGTGTCTTGTCACTGAGGGCCCAAACATGACTGTCCAATGGCCTCTGGAGGATGGCGGGCACCGAGCCACCAAGGGGAAGCAGGCGGAGGGACAACACCCTTTCCCCCCTGGGGTGGTCTGGAGCTGGTAACCCATTGCAGGGACCAGACGCAGCTCTGCCAATAGCCGTTGGGTTTTGAGATTTGTTTCTGAGTCTCTGGGATCATGGCCATTAAGCAGTTCGATTAGAAGCCAGAGAGGCCATGCCTCCAATTATATGGCTGAGCCGGAGGTGATTTGTGGGTGTGTCTCCCACATACCTAACTTTTGGCCATTTACTTTTTTGGTAAACTTTGCCCCAAGTTTTTGGAGTCTGGCCAAAGGCACAGCAGCAATTTTGGGGTATCTGGAAGTCTGAAGGCGCCATCAGGCTGCTGATGCACTCGCCTCACAGGTACAGATTGACCTGCTGGCGGCACCACACCCCCCATATATATAAGTTTTAAAGAAATAGCCAAGCTGTTTTCTATCTGTATTCCAACCAACCTTGTATGAGAACTTCAAATGTCCACGTCTTTGCCAAAATTTGGTGTGGTCAGTCGTTATAATTTTAGCCTTTCTAATACATGTCATCAGCATGATTTGAGTTTTGTTTCCCTAGTAACAAATATTACTGAACATCTTTTTCATGTGCTTATTTGCCATACTTTATCTGCTTTGCTGAAGGAACTTCAAATCAAGTTGTATTTTGGGTTTTGAGAGTCCTTTTGTATATTCTAGGTGTAAGTAGATGATCAAATTATGATTTGCAATTTTTTCCCAGTGTGGCTTGTCTTTTCTTCTAAGAGTATAATTCAAAATTTTAGTTCTTAATTTTGATGAAGTCTTATTTTTTGTGGATCACATTGTTTTCTATGTTTAAAGAATAACATTGTATGTTCTAATGTCATAAAGATTTTTCTGTGAGTTTTATAGTTTATGTTTTATATTTAGCTCTTATCCATTTTTGAGGAATATATAAGGCATGGTACCAACTTTAGTTTTTCCAAATATTTGGATTTTTGCATTTCAAAATATTTTGAAAACTGCATACTCAGTTTTGCCAGCTTCATTTGTTGAAAAGATATCAGATGTGGAGAAATTTTTATTGTTTCTTCAAATAATTTTTCTATTCTGTATTCCTGTCCTTTGGTGACTTAATTTTAATACACTGGACTACTGGACTCCTTGATGCTTTCACAGAGCTCAGTCGTGGTTGTTCATTGGTTTCAATCGCTTTCTTTCCTATTTTTCATGTTGAATAGTTTCCCTTGCCATGTCTTCAAGTTTTTTTCTTTTTTCTACAGCAGTATATTATTAAATTATGTAGATTTATTGTTTATTTAAACAGCTCCTTATTGTTATTCTTACAATCTTTTGCTGTTAGGTATTATCCAGTAAGTAGTCATGTTCATGTTGCATATATCTGCACAGGGTTGCTGTTGGATATTTTCCCAGAGGTAGATTGACTAGGTCAGAGGTTTTTCTGCATATTTCACTTTGACAGCTATTGCCAAATTGTCCTCCCAAGGTATCAAACCAGTTCCACCAACTTATTAGGAAACTCCCTTTAGCCCACAGTCCTCTCTACAGTTCATTACCAAATATTTGGAATTATGCTTAATCTTACAAGAAGAAAATACTGTTGTAATATAGTGACTCTGAGATTGAACTTATCTTCCTGTTCCTATATATTATTTGTATGTTCTAGTCCCTTTTCTATCTCTATATAGTTGGCCATTCAGTTCTTTTAGTGAAAAGAATAACAAATTTAAATAGTAGAGGACTGTTTTTAGTAATTTCTTAATGAACAGTTGACACTTATAATCTATTAGCAAAACTCCTTAAGATGAACTTAATTAGATAGATTCATACTAAGCCTAGTAAGATCTAATGATTTTCATTAGAAAATGTTTAGATCACAGGTTGGCTTAATTGATTTTTTTTTCAGAAAAATTTTAAAAGATCAACATATGACTAGGTTTATCTGAGTTTTTGAATATAAGAATGATGTTTAAAATTCATTTGATAAAACCTAAAATTAGTCCAAGGAGATACAATTTAATCCACAGAACAATTTTATTATGGGAAAGGGGGAATGAATATTTGAAATTTGGATTATATGCAAACATTTAAGTTTTATGGTCATAAAAATACATTCTGTCCCCAGATTAAACAAAAAAGATAAACATTCATGGCCAAATCATAGTCAATTTATTTTCTAATTCAGTACACCTTTTTTGAAATATAAAGAGTAACAAGGTATTTTTGCGATTTTATGGATACATCCTTTTCTTAGCCAATCTCAAACACCTTCAAATTTTGGCTATCATTTGTAATTTCCTGTTATTATATACATGTGCATAGTTAATTAGGTGAGTTGCTTTATCAAATGAATGAATAATTTGGGCCAGTCGTTTGTTTATATCTTGTTTAATTATAAATGCACAGTCTGGCTTTATTTATGCAATAAAAAATATATTTTTAGAGTTGCATCAATATGGAGAGGCATCCAGCACAAGTCCGTCAGGTATGATATCCAGGAACTTCTCTGGAACCTCGTTTTCTGTCTTATCAGCCAACTAAATTTACCCTGATTAAGCTTAATCATTTTGGAATTTTTCATTGCAAAACTTTGAGCTGCATGCTATTGTCAAGTTAGCCAGTTGTTCATTTTAGCAACTTTAATATTGTGTGTGCTTGCTTTTTAGCTATTTCTAAAATTCCATATTAGGAAAAATAGTTGGATTTTAAGCATTAATATTTAGCCTTTCTGCAGTTATTGGAAATGTTCTAAGTGTTGTCTATCAAGATCATCTAATTGTGAATAACTAAAATTTTTGTTATAGGTTCTTAAATTTAGTTCTTTTTAAATTATCTTAATATGCACCCATCACATTATGTTTTATTGCATTAATAACATAATGTATCTAATTGTGCCATTTGAATATTTTGCTTGGTTGTAGTGTAGAAGTATCATAAACAAGTAGAAAAATAATATTGGGGGTTTTTGACTAATAATTATGTGCTTTCATGCTTGTTAAAGTTTTCATGCTGATTTGTGCTAAGTCCATTCTTTTTAAAGTAAAATTTGAATTTCTGTAAATACCATGAAAACATATTTTAGGAGAGTAATTTTGGGCCAGGATAAAGTCCTGAATTTTAACCGTGCTACATGCTCCCATCCCCACCCCTACGTGCCCAGCACCAGAGATGTGCTTGTCCAAATCCCTCTGGGTGTATGGGCTCCTATTGAAAACACAAAGAAAGTATTTGGTCTGAACTTTACGGCGGGTAAGTACGGAGGCATCCCAAATGGTGTTCAGGAGGGTTGGAGATCTCTCCATTGATTCTCAGCCAACCAGGCAGAATTTGCTGCGAGGGCCCAAGGGTACAGTTGCTTTGAGATGTCCAGAGCATGCCTCACAATGCTGCAGAGACTTTGTGGTTATGAAGATTGAGCCCTAGTCAATGATATGGAAATACCCTTAGCTGGTATTGTTCTCCTTAGGTGCTGGTCGGTTTTTTAACTCTATTACCAGTTTTTTATTTTCTTAAGGTTACAAAATATTTCTTCATTGCACATAGCTTTAAAAAAACAAAGACATCATAGGGAATTCCCAGAACCACAGTACCAGGTGTGGCTTGGGTATCCCCGGTGCCACAGGGCCTGAATAGTGTTGGAGCACATCCTAGAGGGCCATGGCACTGAAGGTCTCTAGATAAAGGCTGGTGGCACTTCTGCACCACCTGGGACACTCCTTCCCTTGACAAAAGTTTAATTCACAAACAGCATCTCATTCCTTGCAGTAACAAAAGATATCTTCATCAAGTAGTAGAAAGGTAAGAATTGCTGGAGCAATTGTTTAATTATGGTCTTCATTCTACTCTTAGAATGAAGAGCCTGGCAAGCTATCCGTTGTGTATTCGATATGCCAAAACCAGTAACTACAACTGGTCTCATTCACCTGACCCTGAAGGCTTCACCGACATGGCAGCACTGAGAAGGATGAGAAAGGAGAGGCCGACAAAATCTCAAGGCCGACCTGGGCTGCCACAACGAAGGAAGACAAAAATGATCCTCTGTACTTTCAATGCACGTACGCTAGCATCAGATGCATCCATCGAGGACCTGATGGTACAAGCGCGAATGATCAAGTACGACATCATTGGTCTGACCGAGACAAGAAGGCACGAATCTCACCATGCCGTTTTCGACACTGGAGAAGAATTGTTCCTCGGAACATGAGATAAAAGAGGTGTCGGCGGCGTCGGTGTCCTTGTCAACACAAACTTGGCCATGAGCATTGATTCATTTGAATGCCTAACAACTCGAATCGGGCGTTTACATTTGAATAGATGTGGCTCACTGCCTGCAGTTTCTATCTTCGTTGTCTATGCACCAACATCTCATAATGATGAAAGAGAAATCGAGAAGTTCTACATGGAGCTGGAGAAGTTCTATAAAGAAGACCACACCTTCTACAAGATCATCATGGGTGATTTTAATGCCAAGATAGGACCGAGAAGATCAGCTGAAGAACTTCACATCGGGACCCATGGCCTAGCATGGAATGAACAGGGTGAGAGACTGTCTGAGTTCATCATGTCGACCAGGACCATCCATGGTAACTCACAGTTCCAGAAGGCAGAATCTAAACGTTGGACATGGGAGTCTCCCGGTGGACGATTCCACAACGAAATAGACCACATCATATTCAATCGACGGTTTTGCCTGACCAATGTCGCTGTTGTCCCAAAATTTCGAACGGGATCAGACCACCGTCTCCTTCGTGCAAAATTCTACTTCACAGAGTGGGGAGAAAGGGCTGCAAAGTTCAAAAAGAGAACTCCCAGAACGACCACCAACTGGGAACTCTTTGGCACTATTGCGGCAACATGGGAAGATGCCATTGTTGACAACATTGACGAGGAATACGATCAACTGGTTCAGCACCTCCATGAATGTGCGAGGAACACCAAGAGAGAGATAGCCACAAAAAAACGCCTGTCTTCGAAAACTCTTGTGCTAATTCACCAGCGTGGTTTGGCGCATGCCTCAGGCAACCGCAAGCTAACATCCGAGCTCGCAAAGCAGTGCAGAGATGCGATCAAGGAAGACCTCAAAGAGAGAAGAGCAAAAGTACTGGTAGATGCGGCAGAAGCTGGGAAAAGTATTCGTAACGCCCGCCTGTCCTTCGCCAACTACAAGACCAAGATTACTGCCCTCCGACATCCTGATGGATCCATCACATCCTCCAGAACACCTGAAGAACCTGCCGTCAGTACTCATCAATACACTGGCTCGGCTCTTCACTCGCTACCTGTCTGAATGCAAGGTTCCGTCCCAATGGAAAACCAGCAGGACCGTACTACTGTTCAAGAAGGGAGACATCCATGACATTGGCAACTATCGCCCGATCTGCCTATTGTCTGTCATCTACAAGTTGTTCACTCGAGTCATCCTAAATAGGATTGGCAGAACACTAGATGAAGGACAACCATGCGAGCAAGCTGGGTTCCGCAAAGGATTCAGCACCATCGACCATATCCACACGATAACCAAGCTCATTGAGGTTTCTCGGAAGTTCAAGATGCTGCTCTGTTTAACGTTCATTGATTTAAAGAATGCCTTTGATTCTGTTGAGACGGAAGCGGTCATTGAAGCCCTAGCCAATCAGGAGAAGCGGTCATTGAAGCCCTAGCCAATCAGGGCATTCAAGCCCAATACATCAAGATCCTCCGTGAGCTGTATTGCGGATTCACTACCAGGATCTCACATTCTACAAAGAAGTGATCGTTGATGTCAAGAGAGGGGTGCGGCAGGGTGATACCATTTCACCGAAACTCTTCAGTGCCACCCTCAAGAACATCATGTGACGACTGGAATGGGAAGGAATGGGAGTGAAGATAGATGGTCGGCAATTACACCACCTCCGCTTTGCTGATTTGATAACACCAAACATCAGCCAAGCGGCACAAATACTGGCCGACTTTGACTGTGAGTGTGGAAAGGTAGGACTACAGCTGAATCTTACGAAGACAATGTTTATGAGAAAGCCTCGTTCCTGATGCCCCATTCGTTCTCAATGGAACGACCATCTCTGAATGCAACAGCTATGTGTACCTAGGTTGAGAAGTCAACATGACAAATGACCTGGCACCTGAGCTGCGCAGGAGGAAGAGAGCAGCTTGGAACACCTTCAAGAACGTCGAAGAAATAGCTAAGAGGATGAACAACCTCTGGCTCCAGGCACATCTCTTTGATTCCACTGTTCTTCCTGCATTAACATATGCCTCAGAGACCTGGGCCCTACACAAACAAGATGAGAACGCTATTCAGGTCTCCCAAAGAAGAATAGAAAGAGCTATGCTTGAAATATCATGGTTCACTCAAATGAGAGAAAAAATCCGGAGTTCCAACATCCGTCGACGATCAAGAATCAGGGACGCTGTCTCATTTGCCAAGGTGTCAAAAATCAGATGGGCTGGTCACGTAATGAGATTTAAAGACGACCTCTGGACTAGAGCTGTTACTGACTGGATTCCGCGTGGCCGCCCACCTACCAGATGGTCAAACTTCTTCGTCAAGATCATGAACGATCAGTTTGAGGCTCTTCATGTTCCCGGAGCGAACAGATGCCATTGGGCTACACTAGCACGCAACAGGGACAAATGGAGACGTTACTGGTGCATGCTCGAGTAAATCAACGACTAACGGGAAGTTAAGTGATTAAGTGACAAAATGTATTTCAAGTCTGTCTTTAACGTGAACGTTTATTTACTTCTGGTCTCAAGATACTTTGAAAGACTCATTCTTAACATATCTGAAACGTCTGCCTTAAGTCAACTGCATATTATTTTAATATGCTAATTGAAAAAGTAGCACTTGCATGAAAATTAGTGTTAGAAAATCATGTAAAATTATTGGGGGAAAGTAGACGAATGGTAAGATAAGTGATGTCCCAACTATTGATGTAATTTTAGAGGTTACAATGGAATTTTAATATTTCCTTGTTTTCTGACTTTTTTAATGGACTTTTTTAATTTTTTTTTTTGTTTGAGAAGACAGATCTCTTAGCTGATTTGTTAAATATACTGTCAATTGCAGTGGTTTGAAAATTATTTCAAAATTTAGTGACAAATGATATGTGTATAGTATTTTTAATTGTGCTGTATGTTTTAGGTGTTTGTGAAATGTCATTTTGATTATAATCCATACAATGATAACCTGATACCCTGCAAAGAAGCAGGATTGAAGTTTTCAAAAGGAGAAATTCTTCAGATTGTAAACAGAGAAGACCCAAACTGGTGGCAGGTCAGTATGCCTTTCAGAATTTCCTCAACTGCTGTTTTATTTTCAATCTTAGATCTGGCCAGTATCTGAATATTCAGGAAGAAGGTATTAGCATTTGTTCCAATGATTTTTCCTGCATGAACAGCTCCTGCTTCATGGCTGCTAATTTTGTGGACAGAAGACCATATTGAGAGGGAATTTGTGAGTAGCTGTTAATAAATGCAGAATTAACTAGCCTCTGGTGTTATCCCATTGATTTAGGGATTAGATCAATCATTTCTTCCACATGGGTAACGAATAAAATGCACTCTTGGGTAAGAACGTATTTGGGTTCATACGTTTTCAATATTTGCTTTTTATTTATTAACCAGGAATCTTTTGCAGTGAATATATAGACTTAATATTACAGTGTGTCTTTCTGTTACCGCTTCTATCTGTGTGTATTCATGGCACTATTATATGTCTATAACTAGGCACTTTTATATATATATAAGTAAGTATTATATATACTCTATTTTATGTCTACTTGCCTGTCTTCTCATTTTGTAAGAAATGAGGATTTTTCCTTATCAGTGTGTTTAGTCGAAGGGATGTGTGCTGTATTAGTCTTTTCTCTAGTAGCTATGTGTGGGGGTGTTCTTCCATCCCCCCAATTCAACTTTCAAAAATCTCTCCTAAAGGTAAAGGTAAAGGCCCTCCCGTTGATCGTCGATTTGCTCGAGCGGGCCCAGTAACGTCTCCATTGGAGACTTTGTTGTTACTGTGTCTGGCATATGGAATACTCTCGGTAGCTTGCCGGGCTCTCTGAGAGGGGCGGAGGAATCGAACTCGGGTCGGCCATGTTGGCCGCTTGTAAGGCGAGCGCCCTACCCGCTGTGATATCGCTCCAGCGATATTTCTACTTTTACATTGACTAATAATTGTGAGTTGGAAAAACTGCCATGAGAAAATCAGAAATCCTTCAAGCCAATGGAGCTAATAAGCCTTTTTACACCTGTAGAGTGGTGACTGAAAAGACCACTCCCTGCTTAGAACCAACGGAAGTCTTATTGAAGGAAAGTGTGAAAGCAAAGGATCCAAAGGATCCAAGATGAGAGCTAAAATCTAAATTAAATGAAACAGCAATGACTCACAGTTTTCATAAGTTGTATTGACTTTTAGGGAGGTGTGGAGGCAGGAATAGTCTATAGAATGAGAACAGCCTTACTACAGTGTCTTTAGATTTCAACTACTGTGTTGGATGGAAGGAGAGCTTAGCAGGTGAGCACATGCTTTGCATGTGGGTGGTCTCCTGAGAGCAACCCCAGAGCACCAAGCCAGGAGTAGCCCGGGAGTGCCCCCAATCCAAATAAAAATAAATTTAAATTGATGTCTTACTATATTTTATTATGAGTGATAAAAGAAATAAAAAAAAGTTAAAAAGAATGAGAGGTTTTTTCTGAATTTCTTAGAATATTCATTAAAAACGTGCTTTATTTTTTCTTTATTGAACTTTTTTCTCTTTCTTTAATCTTTTTGTGAGTGCCATTTCTTAACTTTCTCTTCTGATGCCTGTCACTATTGTCTCAGTAGTTTCTTGCCTTTTGTGTCTCTTACTTCAATTCTGTTTTTCAAGATTTTAGTTGCTAAACTAAAAACTGGATTTTTCATTGAAACCACTGTCCTGTACCACTGTAGCACAGTCCTCTCGTTCATCAATTTGCTCGAGCGGGCACCATTAATGTCTCCATTGTGAGACTTGTTTTTACTGTTTTTGGCATATCGAATATACCTCAGGGATCTTGCCAGGCTTTGCTGTGTGGGCAGAATACTCTTGGTAGCTTGCCGGGCTCTCCAAGAGGGACAGAGGAATTGAACCCAGGTCAACCGCGTGCAAGGCAAACGCCCTACACACTGTGCTATCACTCCAGCCCTTTGAAACCACTATTTTAATGTATTCCTTAGTTTATTTTAAAAGTTAGTTTCTTGACACAATATGAAGCTTTACCTACTTTAAATTTATTCCATTAGGATACTTAGATTCCTAGTAGCATGAGTTAAACATTCCATTGTTTTCTCAATTATTTTTTTCAATGACACAGCCTAGAACATACCTTTCTGAAGAGTGTTGGATGAAATGTTTCTGTAACAGACTAGCACAAATTCCTTTCTATTCTTTGGCTAAGTAATATAAATCAAATAAATCAAAGCTTTTATAATTTAAAGAGCCATTTACCTTGGTATGTTGGTCCCAAATTTCACTACTAGATGACAGATTGAGTAGGTGCTAATAGAGTTCTCAGTGCTAACGTGTTTAAATATCTGAACTGATAGTGCCATGAGTTTAAATGTCAAGGTCAGTTTTTAAGTGTTTTGTTGTTTGGTTGTTTTTTTTCTATTTTGTTTTAATTATTTCAATATGGTATCAAACTTTGGTCACTGAGATACACAATTCATTAATTTGATTCTAGGCTAGCCATGTAAAAGAGGGAGGAAGTGCTGGTCTCATTCCAAGCCAGTTCCTGGAAGAGAAGAGAAAGGCATTTGTTAGAAGAGACTGGGACAATTCAGGTGATGAACTTGACCCAATAAGTAACAAGTAATCCCTCTGGCCCTCTTCCACCTTTCTTTGGCTCTTTCATCTGAATTAGCAGATGAATTTATTGAAAACACATTTAGAATTAATCCTTCCCATATGTTTTTATTGTATTGTTCTCAAGCACCTCCCCCCAAAAAATCTCTTTCTGCCACCTGCTAGCTTAACTCATCCCTACCCTCTGCCCCTTCTGCTCCATAATAGGCTGAAGGACTGAGGAAATGCAATCTCACCTCTGTAGATTACTTCAGGGCAGTTATATCATTTTCTGACATGTTGTTTTGGTTATATTTGTCTTGTCATCATCTTTCAGGGCCTTTTTGTGGAACTATAAGTAGCAAAAAAAAGAAAAAGATGATGTATCTCACAACCAGAAATGCAGGTATGTTTTAAAGAGCTATTGGGAACACCAAGTGCAATGATTTTACATTGTTAATCAATGTGCAGCTAAACTCTAACTGTGTATTTTTAAAGGAATGTATCTGATTAATACCCAAATGAATGGGACTGGCATATGAACACATTGTAGCCATTGTATAGAGAAATGACTTAAATCCTGATTAGATTCATTATCACCCATGTGCTTCATGAGAAGAGTTTACAGTAGGTTTAAATGGTTAAAATAAGTGTTTGGGAACCTGAGCATTAATATAGTGGGTAGGGCACTTGCCTTGCACGTGGCTGATCTGGGTTTGATTCCTGGTACCCCAGCTCTTCACCGACCAGGAGTTGCCAGTTAGAGCTGAGTCCTGGTGGATTCCACGTTGCTCAGGGACAGAGGTGTTGGGGTTCCCCAGAACCACGCAGAAGTTTAAGAAGCCAGGTAGGTCCTGCACATATGCAGCCTATGTCCTGGCCTCTGAACTATCTCCCCAGCCCCAGTAAGTGATCATTTTAAAGCAATTTCTTTATTTCAGAGCTACCTCTATATTGGTAATAAACTAGTGCACTAGAAAGGAAATTATGATATAATAACATAATAAGAAAGAGGGAAAGAAATGATCTCAATATTGGTTTAATTTGCTTTAGAAAAGTTATACATAAAGTTGCTGCTAAGATAATAACCTAAGGAAGAAATATTGTGCTCCAGATTGAAAGCTATGACCATAATGTTTAGGTAGTAATTCAAATCTACTTTTCCTTTTTATTAAGTGTCAAAGCCTTCTTACAAAATACAAAATCTGGGACCAGAGTGATAGTATAGCTAATAGGGAATTTGCCTCTATGCAGCCAACCCAGGTTTAATTCCAAGCATTCCATATGGTTCCCCAAGCACCACCAGGACTAATTCCTGAGTGTAGAGCCAGAAGTAACCCCTGAGCATCGCTGGGTATAACACAAAACAAAAAAGGCAAAAAAAAAAAAATAGAAAATCTATAATTTTACCACTAAGTTTATAATTTTGAATGTATTTCTGCTAGAACAGTTCAGATCCACCACTTTATTTCATACATAAATTCATAATCAATATAAAGGTCATTATGTTGTCTGCACATTTTATGAATAAACTGATATTTACAGAATCACCAAAGAATAGTTATTCATTTAAGTACTTACGTTACTTACCCTCTGAGACTTTTTTAAGTAGACAAAGTGTATTCTGTACTTCATATTTGATGAACAGTTTTTAGTTGGAAATACGTAGATTAATTTGCAGTTTTCCAGGGTGAAATTATTTTTGCTAACATTGATAACAAAGAGATTTTAGTAAAAATTGTAATAAGATGAGGTGTAGGTATTTCTCTAGCTTAGTTATACAGATTTTTACATGCAAATACATGGAAGCAGATGTTTAAAACTGGTTGTACAATAATTTTTTCACTTGTTACCAAATTTATAAAAACAAATCAACATGAAGTGAGTATAATTCAAGTAGTATTTAGGTATCAATATAAAATGCCATCATTGAAAAGAATAAATTTGATCTAAAAGATAATTGAATATGATGCCATTTCCTTTTCCATTTAGAATTTGATCGTCATGAAATCCAGATATATGAGGAGGTAGCCAAAATGCCTCCCTTCCAGAGAAAGACGTTAGTATTAATAGGAGCTCAAGGTGTGGGCCGGAGAAGCTTGAAAAACAGATTCATAGTATTGAATCCTACTCGATTTGGAACCACGGTACCATGTAAGTTCTCTGTCTCTCCATATTATTGTTGTTGTGTTTGCGGAAACTATGGTGGTTCATATTACTTCCTTCATCCCCAAATAATTTTTTTCACTGTGCCAGTAAAAATGAACAAGTTCTAAGTTACTGAAAAACTCAGTGATTGCATAGCAGTCTTAAAATAGTACTGTAGTGCTTACAGCTTGCTCTTCTGGTGACAATTATTTTTCCAGTGTTACTTAAATTCAGTATTAAGATTTGCAGCAAAAGCAGCATCAGCTTCAAATTTTCTTGCACAATTAATTTCACCTCCGTTAAGGTAAAGAAAAAGAGGAAACCTGCTGTATCCTCATATACCCCCGGTGTGAATTTATAGCTATAAGGTCAAAAAGCTAACATTTTAAGGGGATGGGGACATACTTCTAAAGGTATTGCCTCTCTTCATGTGTTTCAAGTTTCAAGCCTGAGGCCTCCCCATGGACGTGTCCTCCAGCGTGTTGAGCTCTCTCCCCAGTCCCTACACCTGCTGTTGAGATCACGTTAAGAGTGATTCTCTTATAGAGTAGGCAGTTTTATTTAAGATCGCTAGAATTCATAAATAATACTGATTAGAGAAAAATATCCATCAATGGAATCAGACACTCATTTGGGGTTATTTACATTCTTTTTTTTTCTTTTTTTATTAGTGAAAAACCATGAGGTACAGTTATAGGCTTACAAATTTTGTGCTTGGGTTTCAGTTATACAATGATCAAGTGCCCATCCCTCCACCAGTGCCCGTCATCCATCCCCACGTGTCCCAGCATCCCCTCCCAACCCTCATCCCCCCCCCCCACCCCCGTCCCATCCTGCCTCTGTGGCAGGGTATTCCCCCTTGTTCTCTCTCTCTTCTTTTGGGTACTGTGTTTTGCAAGAGAGGCTTTGAGTGGCAATCATGTTTGGTCTATCGACTACTTTTAGCATGCTTCTCCCACCCTGGGAGGGCCCTCACAACACCCTTCATTTGGTACTCTCTTCTCTATCTGAGCTTCCTTTTCACCTAGAGCCTGTGGCTGGTCTTCCATTCATGGAGCAAAATTCCTGGTACTAATCTCAGCCATTCCGGTGGATATTACATGGAAAGTTAAATAATGTGTCAGAAATATGCATGATAAGAATGGAATTAAATCATAGAGTTTGTATCACTGACATTAGAAGGACTTTGAACTATTTTAAGTACTTTCAAACATTCGCCTTTTTGTTTATATCAAATCAATCTACGCAAACTATTTTAACCAAATATTTCCCCTTTTTGCCATTACCACACCCAACAGTGCCAGGGCTACCTCCTGGCTCTGTGTTCAGGATTACTCCAGGTGCTGCTCAGGAGACCTCAGGCAGTGAGAGGAATCAAGCTCAGATTGGCCACATGCAAAACAAGCACCTCAACTCCTGTCCTATCACCCTGGCATCTGAACCAAATTTTTATTTTTTATTTGTTTCATTTAGTTTCAGGGGCCACATCTGATGGTGCATAGGGCTTGGTTTTGGCTCTGTGCTCAAGGGTCACTTCTGGTGGGCTTGAGAGACCATAAGGGGTGCCGCAGCTTGAACCCAGGTCGACTGTGTGCAAGGCAAGTGACCTGCCCACTGTACTATCACTCGGGCCCTCTGCTGCTACTTCTGGGTCCTCCAGGTCAGGGAGGGAAGAAGTGGGCATTATAGGAAAAGGAATAAAGCACTATCAGGTAAAAATCTTGCCTGTTAGAAAATAAAGTCCTTTATAGCACAGATGTCAAACACTGTCTCTTCAGTAAGGCTGTCTGCAGAGTTGCAGTCCTACTGTTAATATAAAATGTGTGTACTTCATTTCCTACTCAGCATATTGGTCTTTCTTTCCTTCAGACGCTTCCAGCTTATTGCTTAGCCCTCAGCCTGGAGTACAATGCCTCCTTGATCATATGTTTAAATTTCACTTTTGTTCGTGTCTCCTCACTTACCGTTCAGACTAAATTATCCTTCCCAATAGCCACTGCTTGTGTTTTAGCACTTAAATGTTTGTTACTTGAACTGAAATTTTGTGTTTCTTTGGCAGAGCCAGTGTCTAGACCCAGTATCTGGAATAAGGTCTGGGACAGAGCATGTACCCAGTAACTAATGAGTGGATTTCTCACAAGCATCTTAATATTTTTATAAATATTAATTGTACAGCTAAGCAGTCCCCCAAAAAAGGGGTCAAAGCACTTGAATACTCATTTCTCAAAAGAAGATATACAAGTGATCAATGTTATATATGTTATGTAATGATGTATTATTGTATTTACTTATTATAGGGGAAATGCAAGTGAAAATTTCAGTCACATACCAGTACGTACCTTTTAGATTGGTATTATGGATTTATATATATATATATATATATATTCTTTCCATTAATTTTTTTCTCCTTTTAAAATTTTTTTTTTCCCTTTATTTTATTTTATTTTTTTTAAAGTTGTAGATTTACAATTTTTTGTGCTTTGGTTTCAATTATACAATGATCAGATACCCATCCCTCCACCAGTGCCCATTTTCCACCACCATGGATAATATCCCTCCCACCCCCATCCCCCCATCCCCCCTTCTCTGTGGCAGGGCAATCCCCTGTGTTCTCTCTCTCCTTTTGGGTGTTTTGGTCTGCAAAAGAGGCATTGAGTGGCAAACATGTTCAGTCCATAGTCTACTTTCGACATGCATCTCCCCTCCTGGGAGGATCCTCCAAACATCCTTTATTTGGTGCTCCCTTCTCTATCTGAATAGCCCTTTCCTCTAGGATACCCGGCTGGCCTCTAAGTTATGGAGTAATCCTCCTGGTGCCTCCTTTTAAAATTTTTATTTATTTGATGGACTGGAGCGATAGCATAGCGGGTAGGTATTTACCTTGCACACGGCTGACCCAGGTTCGATTCCTCTGCCCTTCTCAGAGAGCCCAGCAAGCTACCGAGAGTATCTCACCCACACGGCACAGCCTGGCAATCTTCCCGTGAAGTATTTGATATGCCAAACACAGTAACAACGAGTCTCACAATGGAGACGTTACTGGGCCCGCTCGAGCAAATCAATGAACAACAGAAGGACAGTGCTGCAGTGCTTTTTTTTTTTTAATTGAATCACAGTAAGATACACAGTTACAAAGTTGTTCATGATTGAGTTCAGTCATATATATCACATTTCCCACTACCAGTGTGGAGTGCGCATTAGAGAGAGAGAGAAGGGGGGGAGAGGAGAGAGAGAGATGTATCCGCCATAGACACCAGCTTGGGGGTGGAGTGAGAGGGAAACTAAAATGAGGGACATTGGGTTGGGACATTGTGGCTCAAATAAACACTGCTGAAGGCAAGGGTGTTGTCACATTGTGTGATTGAAAACTTTGTAACTAATTTCAGCAACTTTGTAACTATTTCACAGTGATTCAACAAAAAAAGGAAACTAAAAAAAAAGAATAATCAACATTTTCTTAATAGTCTAGCATATAAAATAGTGTTTTATTTAATCATTACTGTTATGCCCATATATATGTTTTGTTGTGTTTTGCTACAAGTAAAGTAATAGCAAATTGTATACATAAATCTCGGTTGTAAATGATTAAATTAAAGGAATAATTATAACTTTCTAATTATTAATATCCTATTTCTAAATTAATTCCAAATGAAGTACTGTTTTACCTTTCCTACAGTGTTTTATTTTTAGTAAAAATCTAAGTCTGAAATTGCATATATAAACAACTTTTTATTTAGTGTAGGTATCTTTTGCTTTTATTAATTCACTTTGGGGCCCTGGGAGGTAGATGGAGAAGAGCGTATGTTTTGCATGCATGAAGCCCTGATTTCAGTCCCCAGCACTAAACTCCCCCTCAACCCTGCACCTGAGCACTGTGACTCTGGTAAATAAACCTACTAGAAAGCCCCCTCCCCCCAATAAAAAAATCATTTATACAGCAGCTAGCTGTAGAGAGATATATATATATAGAGAGAGAAGTATATATATTATATATAAGATACATATGTATCTCACCCGCATGGCTAAGCCTGGCAAGCTACCTGTGACGTATTTGATATGCCAAACACAATAACAACAAAGTCTCACAATAGAGGCATTACTGGGCCCGCTCGAGAAAATCAATGAACAACGGGAGGAGAGTGATACATGATATAGATAGATAGATAGATAGATAGATAGATAGATAGATAGATAGATAGATATCGGAGAGCCCAGCAAGCTACCGAGAGTATCCCACCCACATGGGCAGAGCCTGGCAAGCTCCCTGTGGCGTATTCGATATGCCAAAAACAGTAACTATAACAGGTCTCATTCCCCTGACCCTGAAAGAGCCTCCAATCATTGAGAAAGACAAGTAAGGAGAGGCTGCTAAAATCTCAGGGCTGGAGTGAATAGAGACGTTACTGGCACCCGCTCAAGTAAATCAACGAAAAATAGGATGACAGTGATACAGCAGCTAGCATTTCTTTTCTTTTTTTCTTTTAACTTTTTTATTGAGTCACTGTGAGATAAACCCTTACAAAACTGTTCATGATTGGGTTTCAGTCATACAGAGTTCTAACGCCCATCCCCTACCAGCATACACTTTCCAGCACCAGTTTCTCTCCGTTCACCCCTCTCTTGCAGGAAATGAGGTGAATGCTGCTTCAACATAATCATAAGATAAAATAGAAAAACAAATTTCACCTTCCTTACCTTTGTTGTTGCTGGCATTAATGAAATGTCCAGGAGCTGTGCCCTTGGTTGTGGTGCTCACACATCTAGCTCTGGTAATACCACTGTCTGTGGGATCCAAAGTGCTACTGAGATCACGTTGATCACTCCCAGTGTGTTAGGGGGTCCTGCAGTGCTGGCAATTAAATGTGAGGCTCCCATCTGCAAAGTACGCCCTCTACGTCTCTGAGCCACTGCGCCAACTTTGATAATTGAGATTGAATCTGAAGTTTATAATGTTTTTATAAAATTTGTAATTGATGTATGCAGTTATTAAGTTATCAAAATAATGTCCACTTTTAATCTAGATTGGCTTTCTGATTTTAATTTCACAGGGTTAAGGTTTGGGTCAGATATTCTACATGTGCAGGCACTTGATTAGTAAGTGGGATACCTTTTGATGTCTGACCTAGTCAATCTAGAGTGTGACTAAACTTGAAAATAACACATACACCTACCCATGTAGAAGTTAATCTCTTCTTTCAAATTCATGTTTACTAGTTGGCAGAGAATTCTTAACTGCACACCTTTGTAGATGCTTCAAGAGAATAGTGATCCATCCCCAGCGTAGCCCCAGGCCACGAAGGACTTGTATGTCCATAAAAATTCTTAAGGCCCTTCAGTATTAGACAAAAGGATTCTTTCAGCTTTGACTTGGATTCTATTCCATCTCATTCTTAGAAGGGACAATCAGCTCTGAGTGGAAGATGTTAGGACAAGGAGGTGGCTATCTCCATCGCTGTGGTGTAAAATAGAAGAATCGGGGCCAGAGAGGTAGTACAGGGTTGGGGTTAAGACTTTAACCTTGCAAGGGTCCACCCAGGTTTGATATGGACACCACATATGGTCAACTGAGCACTGCCTGAAGGGATCCCTAAGCACAGAGCTAGGAGTGAGCTGAGCACCTAAATACCACAGGTGTGGCCCACAGACCACCACTCATCCCCCCACCCCCCTGCACACACACATACAGAAAACAATTAACATTTGGGACTGTCAGTAAGCAATAGCCTAATAAAAAGTTTTGGTGTTGAAGTAAAACTAAAAGGAGAGATAACACAGCGGGTAGGGCCCTTGCCCTGCAAGCATGGGAGGAGGGGGTTCAATCCCCGGTACCTCATAACCGTCTCCAAAGCCCACCAGGGGTGATCCTTGAGTGCAGAGCCAAGAGAAAGCCTTGAGCACAGCTGGTATAACTCTAGAACAAACAATAATAAAGGATAGATCATTTGTAGGCAAAACTACACTTCAGAAAATGGATAACACCAAATATGAATAGAACTTTGCTTACCTATTGGACATTCAATTAGAAAATGTAAAGATGGGGTGAAATAAACACAGAGGAGAGGAATCCCAATCAGAGGGAATCTGCCTCAAATTTACTATAACCCAGTCACAAGTAAGATATTAACGTTAGGACTCTGCTTCTAGGTATAGAGGCTTTGAGTATGTTTGAGCGCCTTCTGGGGGGGGGGGGGGTACAGATTTTATGTTAGGGTGTTACCTCTAAAATATTGCTCTAGATCATGGTCAGCAAACTTTTTATTCAGTAGTCACATAGTGATTATGTTAGGCCTTGCATACTGTTCAGTTTCTGTCTCAGCTATGCCACCAGTGCTGTACATGGAAGCCAGAGATAGCTTAAGTAAATGTGTACCGCTGTGGAGTAATACAACCTTTTATATAAAATGGGTAGCAGGGCACATTTGACCATAGTCCATACTTTACTGACCCCTGCACTATGGAAAAGTCTTCAACTACCTTATATATTTTATTCTATTTTTTTTTTATATATCCTGCATTTTCTTTGTACAAATTACCAACACTCTTTTTAGTTACTTCACGGAAACCAAGGGAAGATGAGAAAGATGGTCAGGCCTACAAGTTTGTTTCACGATCTGAGATGGAAGGCGACATTAAAGCTGGAAAATATTTGGAACATGGGGAATATGAAGGAAATCTCTATGGAACCAAGATTGATTCTATTCTTGAAGTTGTCCAGACTGGAAGAACATGCATTTTGGATGTCAATCCCCAAGTAAGCTGTGTGGCACCCAGAGTTGCTCGAATTTCCTTTTATTTCCTGTGGAGTTTTTGTTTTGTTTGAGAGAGTGGAGATGGCTTTCCCCCTCTATTTCCTGTAGGTAGGAAAATGTGTTATTATGTCTCTACAGCTAGTTAAATACATCTCTGATTAGTCAGCCAACAGAACTTTAGATAGCCGTAGGAACTTGGTTGTTGACAGTGTTTATTTGCTTCTTTAATGTGTAAAATTTAAACAGGGCTGCAACATAATGAATAGGTTGAAGTCACAACCCTTCCCACCCAACGCACACACACACACACACACACACACACACACACATACACTTCATTCCACATCTCATCATTTCCTTCTCATCCTTCTATTCTCAACCTAAATTCACCTCCCTACTGAGGTAAATATTAATGGTAAATGACATTAGTATATTCTCAATTAGTAATATACTATTGACATTATTAATAGCACAATAATATCTAAATATCATTAATACCATTAATATCAGTACTATTAACATAACAGTATTGTGTCTTATCTTTAAATACAAATATATGTATATAAAGTATAATGGATTTTCTGTTTCCTTGTGACATAAATGTATGCAGATTTCCTAATTTTTTCCATGGAAGAGTATATTTTGTTATTTGGGGGGGGTCACACACTAGAGGGTGGGGAGTACAAAATTTCTTGAAAAATGTTTTTATGCCAGTTTCTATAGAGTCTTCTTTTGTCCCTGCAATCGCTGCATGACATTTCATAATAAGCATGATATTAATTTTTGTAACCATTCTCCCATTGAGAACACCGAGGCTATTTCTACTTCTCTGATATTCACAGTACTCTACAATTAACATAGCATTTACATTGTTGTGATGATCTGTGGATCATTTAGATAAATACTTTCACTTGTTCAAATGGATCAAAGCATCGAGACAGATCAGAACAAAATTAATCATCTTAAGAAAGAACTGAAAGGGGGTCCAAAGTCTAGAAAGGACCGAGCATTATGCCCTGATTCTCAGAAAGCTAGCAGAATGGCTTTGAATGCATTGATGATCTGGTAAAAATCTAAAGGGTGGCATAGTTCAGATTCTAACCCAATGAACTGGTTTACAATTGCTCTCTGCACAGGCCCTGAAAGTGCTGAGGACATCTGAGTTCATGCCCTACGTTGTGTTTATTGCTGCCCCGGAGCTGGAGACATTGCGTGCCATGCACAAGGCTGTGGTGGATGCTGGCATCACTACCAAGCTCCTGACGGTGAGCTGCTGGAGGATGATTATTTCTCTCTTCAAATGTTTCCTTAACTGTAGCCTGCCATGCATATGGAGGGAGCATACTACATAAAGTATTAGAGAATGAAAATTCATTCCCTGGATATAGCTAGGGTTTGGAACAATTTTGCTCCTAATTAAAAAATCACGAATTTTAAAATAAAACTTTCCTCCCCTGTGTTAACGAAATGGACCAGAACCAATATATGCATATTAGTCCAACCCTCTTGATTTATTAATGAAGGAACTGGGCCTCAAGACTTTTTTGTATTGGGGACTCTCAAGCAATGCTGGGGAGATTGAGGGGTGCGAGGGGTTAATGCCTGAGGATGCAATGCTGCTTAGGCTTGTTGTGCTGGGGTGCTCAGAGGACCATGTGGTGTGCCAGGGATCAAACGTGGGTCAGGCACATGCTCACCTTGCCTTCTGACACTTGTACTATCTCCTGGCCCCCAAAGACTGTCAACAAGCATGTTCATCATATGATAAATGGAGTGGTAAACATCTGACTGCATGGTTCCAATAGTGTTTCCACGTATGCTTGTGCGTCAGATTACTGACCCTCCACCACCACGGATGCCCACAAACCTCACTGCTGTCCTGCTCTCCTGCTGTCCTGCTCTCACTTCCAGTGCGCCTAGAGGAAGCTCTTCCCCTCATTCCTCTACATCCCCAGCTATATCATCTTATGATTTTTTACTGTGCATATTTCAAACATACCTATCTTGATACATTTGCACTTATCATACAATTGGGTGCTTTAATTGTTTTCTTTTGTTCTCCCTCCCTACCCATAGTACAAAATAAGCACAAAAGAGGTGAAAAAATGATCTCGTCTGTGTTTCAGTATCATGGTGTTTATTTGTTAGATTCCTTCCTTCTTTCCTTATCATGAAATTATTTTGAAGCAAATCTTTGAAATATCAACTGTAAATGTTTTTGATATTATTCTTTTAAAAAAATCTTTGTAAATATAGCCGTTGGGGTCAGAGAGAGAGAGCACAGGGCTTTAAGGTGATTTAATGTGGCTGACCCCGATTTGATTCCCTAGCACCACATGTGGTCCCCCAAGCACCTCCAGGAGTCACTCCCGAACTCAGAGCCAGGAATAGGTCCTGAATACCACCAGATGTGACCCTAATAACCCCCAAACATTTTATATGGTTATAAGAAATAAACATATTATCATAAACACATGAAAAATTAGGAGCCACATTTTGTTTTATTTTGTTTTGGAGCCACACCCAGTGATGCTCAGGGTTTAGTCTGCACTCAGAAATTACTTCTGGCTGACTCAGGGGACCATACAGGATGCTGGGGATAAAACCCAGTTGGCTGCATTCAAGGCAAATGGTCTACCCGCTGGACTATCGCTCTGGCCCAAGGGCCATTTCTTAATGCCATAAATATACAGACTGCTTTCATTGCCTCAGATTGGTATTTATTTCACAGGAGGCATGCCTCAGTGGCTACTCCCAGCTTGGTAATTGCCCCCAGCATGCCTCAGTGGCTACTCCCAGCTCAGCAATTGCCCCCAGCAGTGCTCAGGGGACCATTTGTTGCCAGGGATCAAACCTAGACTTCCAGCATGCAGAGCATGTGCACTAGCTCTTCAAGCTTTTACTTGCACTCCGAAATTTATTGTTTATTTACAAGTTGATTTGTTCACATAAGGAGCCAAACAAGAGCAACATGTTGCATTTACTGAATGTCTCTAAGTTTTCCCCAGTAAATTATATAAAATTGGTGTACAATAAGCAGTGCATATTTCAAACATACTTAGCTTGATACATTTGTGCTTATCTGCAAACCTGTGAAACCATTGCAGTGAAGGTCACAGACACACCCATCTCTTGCGAATATTTCCTTGTGTCCCTTTAAAATCTCTCCTTCCTGCTGCTATTCTTTTCACACTGAAACTGTGAGACTTGAAGTCTGGGAGCCCTTGTCCTCTTTGTTTTCTTCAGGTTGTTCTCTGTCTCTAATTTTTTAATAGCCAATATAACTAAATTATAAAAAGTGTCATCATTTACTAATCATGGTGTATCCCACTTCTGCACTATTTTGATTTAATGACATTTCTGCTTATTGAAGTTAGGTTGTTTTGGGGGTTGTTTAGTTTTTTTGCTTCCTGGAAATTCTGGTAATTACTGATTACATGTTAGTTATTTTGTGAGCTTTTGCAGGAAGTGTGTGTGCCAGGGATTGTCTATTTGAAGGAAACAGTATCATGAACTTATTCTGAAACTTCCCAACCAAATTCAGGATTTTAGGGGTTACTTAACTTTTGTTTGTTTGTTTTTTTGTTTTTTGGGTCACACCTGGCAATGTTCAGGGGTTACTCCTGGCTCATGCACTCAGGAATTACTCCTGGTGGTGCTCGGGGGACCATATGGGATGCTGGGAATCAAACCTGGGTCAGCCACATGCAAGGCAAACGCCCTACCCACTGTGCTATTGCTCCAGTCCCTTAACTTCTTAATATGTGTAATTTCCCAGTTCTCACAAATGCCAGGACTCTTAGAATACTACATGACTGCTGATTTGCTAATATACAATAGTGTCAGAATGTATTCTTCACTACCGCCAATAATGTGATTGCTATGAAAAGGTTTACTTCCCTGGTATAGTTTTTCCTTCAGAGTTTCCTACTTATGTCTGGTTTTGCTTGGACCCTTTGGGCCTCTAAGGTCCAAGTGCCTATATCTGGGAAATTCTTATCTATCATTTCTTTAACTGTTGTTTCTTCATTTGCATTTGCCATCCTGTTCTCCAGAGTATTTGATGATTCTTGTTCCTCTTGAACTCAAACCATAGTTCTCTGGTGTGTTCTTCATTTCAGACCATTTTCAACCATCTGCTGTTTTCTGATGGTTTTGTCCTCAGCTTGGAGCTCGATGATCTTTTGCTCAGCTGCTATAACTCTGCTTTTCAGAGCTGCTGAGTTTTTTGTATCACCTACCATGTTCTTCATTTCTGTTATTTCTGGTTGTAGTAGTTTTTTCATTTCAACCTTTATGCTCTCTTGTGCTTTGTTGGCTATCTGTGCCATTGTTTCTTTCATCTTCTTGAACATACTCATCATGGTGTCCCTAAAGACATTCTCTGAAGTGGTGCCCCAGTGGGACTCAGCCTGGTGTAAGGTCAGGAAGCATCTCTGCCAGACCATCCTTTCTTGATCGATTCATTCTTTTTTCACACCCGGCTCATCAGCCTATCTGATTAGTTTTTATCACCAAACTTTATTTTCACTCTCATGTTATCATAATCCAGAGATGTCTTTTCATTGTATCTAAGTCCTCCATGGCATGCAGTTTTCAACCTCCCTTTAGCCCTCCATCAGTTGGTTCATAATCTTTAACATTTTGGGGTCATTTCATTCCCTTTTTTGCATTGTTGTTGCCTCTGCCTGATATTCACTTTACCCCACTGTAGTTCTCAATTTCTCCCACTACAGTTCCCAATTTAGGTGGCATTTTCTAAGTGTCTTTCTAGTCAACCTCCTCAAAGTTAGATTGAGAAATTCCTTCCTTCTGGCTTTTTTTTTAAATATAGTCATTATTCATTTGGGAGATTTTTGGTTTTTTGCTTTTCTTTGCTCTTTTTGCTTCTCCATAAAATTCTTTCTCATTAATTGCTCTATCCACAGATTGTGAAAGAATATAGATAGTTTCAAACAAACTCAATAATTCTAGAATTTACAGAAGTATTGTGATACTTAACATGCCTGCAATTTAATGAAAAGCTTTACTTGGCTGTGTTGTACCCATTATTTATTCCCTTTATCATTTCTAAATGACTAGGAATGCTCTGTAAAATATAAGCCACACTAATTCAAGTAAAATTATGGGCATGGCAGGGGGGCCGGAGGCGGGGGGCAAGTAAAGTTAGTCTTTAAAATATAGGGACTGGAGCGATAATGCAGCAGGTAGGGCACTTGCCTTACACAGGGCTGACCTGGGATTGATCTCCCAGCATTCCAGATGGTCCCCCAAGGCCCACAAGGAATAATTCCTGAGTGCAAAGCCAGGAGTAAGCCCTGATCACTGCTGGGTGTGGCCTAAAAAACAAGCAACAAAATAGAACACAACATTTATAAGATTCTCTTTCTTAGATCTAGGCAGCAAATTTGGCTTTTAGCTTTAATAGCCACTGGAAATTGGATCCCATAATTTATAAAGACCATAAAATAAAAGTATTTTTTTAAAAAGATGATATAGCTAGACTAGAAAACACTCAAATATTGTCATTTTTATTATCTCCAATTTCACCCAGAGATTGTCAGCAGTATTTTATTAGGAGTCTTAATATCAGTAAAACAGATGATACAGAATACTCATAAATGCAAACAAATGTACTGCACCTGGAAAGTCTAGCTCTGACCAGATGGTAATACCTTTTTTAATAGTCCATATAGATTAGTTTGGGGGATTTAATATCAGAATTATAATAAATATCTAAACTACTGACTTATGCTCACTTTGAATTGGCTGCCTGAGCAAATAAATACACATTATGAGATAAACATTTCCTTCTAAAACTCCTCCACAGGACTCTGACTTGAAGAAAACCGTGGATGAAAGTGCACGGATTCAGAGAGCATACAACCATTATTTTGATTTGATCATCATAAACGACAATCTAGACAAAGCCTTCGAGAAACTACAAACTGCCATAGAGAAACTGAGACTGGAGCCACAGTGGGTCCCAATCAGCTGGGTTTACTAATGATTCAGTAAGGTTGACAATTAAAATAAAACTTTCACAAGGTGACTGCAACAAATTAGCCTTCTACTGAGAAAAATACATGCACAGATAGAAGAAATGTGCCAAGTTCAGGCATTTTTATTGTGTAGATTGAAATACCGGTACACTCTTTTGAATTTTTATATAAAATGTGATTGGGAAGGTGTACTCTAATATATAATTTATCTTAATTTTTCTAACTTTTTATGGATAATCTTTCTATTCATATCACATAAAAGAAATGCGTTGAAGCATTTTGTATATGTTTTGATTTAGTACACTTGCTTTTTTCATCAAAGGAACTTTCAAATCATTCACTCTGGTGTTGGTCTCACATTTTCACTGTGATAATGAATACTTGAAATAGTTTTGTAAAGCTGTTATTTAGTTCAGTATTTAATGAAGGAAGTTACTCTTATTAGGAGAAAATAGCTATTGGCCTTCTTTCCTAATATATTTTCTTACAGAAGCAGAATTTTAATGTCAGTGCTGTAGTTAGCCTACTACCATCCAGATCTGACATCCGAAGTCTGCTCAGTGCTGTGTAGTTTCATTAATTCAGAGATGTGTGGCTCTCCATTCTAATTTGTACAGATCTATTGGGTTTTCCCTTTCGTTTCTATCTTGAGTAAAAAAAAATGAAGAGCAATATCTTGCACTCTCTCATTCGTTGCAGTGACAGGCTGATTTTAACTTAATGTCTACACAGCAAATAAGGCCATGCCAGCTGAGGGAGTGCCTTAACCTATAAAATCTTGCAGCAAAGTGGCACTTAAAAGTTAATTTATTTTCACTTGTAAAAATTTAACCGAAAAAAATGAACCTTCTACTCTAGATAGGGTTTTTTTTTTTTAAATTAGGACTGTAGTCAACAACTGTATCATGCCTTTGCAAATTTCTTTTTTGAAGATCACAAATGCCTCAGAGCGCACATTGCACTTAGGATTTTTGTGAACTGTCAGTATGCTTTTGGAAGAATCATATGATCTTATCTGTATTTTACATTTCTGTTAGGATATGCATTTTGTTTAATGATTGGGAAATGGTTCTTCTCTTTCAGGTGTATTGATATATACAGATCTCCAAATCTCAATTGGGTCAATACCTTCCTTTGGAATTCTTAGATGGTATAAATTCTCCCTAAAACATAATCTGTAATGCTGCTCATCATTATAGCCACATTTTATATTGTTGCTAGATTTCCACGTACTCATTATTTACACCAAAGTGTTGGGTGCTTACATGGTGGTAATCATCTTTGATAGGCACCAGACAACTAGTTACTGAATTTTATTTCCTCTCACCAATATGGTTGCCTAAAATTAAGAATTATATACACAGTGTTTCATTCCTTTTCACAATGAAACAAAATTCCCAAGTTACTGTGTTAAGATTGGAAATCTGTGGGTTTATTTCTAATTCCAGAATTTCATACAGAGAACACAGATTTATGTTCTTTGTCCTAGAACAGGAAATTGGTAACAAAATAGATCATATGTTTTATAAGCCTTGGTGGCTTTTAAACCACATATGTTCAGACCAAACTCTTGACTTCTCAAAGCAACACCAATCAAACAATAGCAGCAAGATGATGTCATATACTCGTGTTTAAATTCACAGTAAAATTTTTAGAAAATTTAATTCGCACACTTTCAGGAGTTGTACTGAGTACTGCAGTGTGCCTTCGTGCTGCGGTGTGGAGTCTCTGAACAGCTTTGGGTTGTTCGAGCAGTACAAGTTTATCCACAAACCATTTCAGCCATCTTGACAGAGGAGAGAGATTTTCAGCCTTATTGTATGGTGTCATGTTACTTAGGAAATAGTCTGCAAAGTATTCACGTACACATTAGATTCATTCTTATATAAAATGAAATTAATGTAGTTCATTTCTTTTCTATCTCAATGCCAGAACTGAAGAGAATTAAGTGTATCTCACTCAAGAATCATTGAACTCATGGGGGATGGAGAGATAGGACAGGAGTGAAGGTATTTGCATTGCATGAGACCAATCCCAGTTCCATCTCGAAACCCCATCTGATCCTCCAGCACTACCAGTAGCCCTGGAGCACTTCTGGGTGTGGCTCTAATCCCCCCCCCCAAAAAAAGGCAGAAGGGGGAAGTCACTGAATTTGGAGTCTGCAGGAGTGAGCAAGCTCTGTTGGGGCAAGGAACCTCCCAAGGCAGTGAGAGAATATTTGTGATCAAGGACATGAGAACTTCTCTTGTGGGAATGGTCTAAATTAGCTTTACCAAAGAAAATATGGTTTAAAGTGCTATTGAGAAACATTTGATCTTGAGAAACGTGAGTGCCAGTACATTAATGTCCCTGAGGATTCCTTGTGGATAGGTGAGTATACAGTCGGCATTCCGTGCATGGGTGTATACAGTTGAGTATTACATTCAGCATTTTATTCATATTTGGTGCCCACTGGATAAGATAGTTAACCATAAATGATAGAATGTATGCGATATACTAGAATTTCATTTCATTAATCATGCCTTGATTATGCTGTCTCAATTTGTTTCAGTTCTTTGATCCATTTTTAACTATATGATTGCTGAACATAGATTTCTAAAACAGAAAATTATTATAAACCCAGTGACTACAGCAGTAGTATCTTGGACCTAGATTCTAGGAGCAACTAAATTTATTGATTATAGTTATATTTTTAAAGGAATTTAAAGATTTTTTCATTTTGAAATTCTTTAAGGGAAAATTGGTTGTTAACAAATTTAGAAAACAATGCGGATAGTAAATTATAATTAATATGGCTTCATAAGATGCAAGATACTAACTGCTTTAAAACCACACAATTCCATTAACAGAGATAATGGCTTTAAAAACTCATTACATTGGTAGTTATTATATAGATATAACAACCCACGTCATGATTGGAGTTGATTTTTAAGATAGTTACGGAGTTTAAATGTAATTATTATGAATTGGTAAACAATGAAGATTAAAGTTTTAAAAACTGGTTCAGAATAATAATATACTAACATTATACTTTTACAAGTTCTGAGACAACACTACTTTCCAGAAATCACAGACATTATTGCCAATAATTTTATAGTAATGGATCTTTATAATGAATATGAAAAAAGCAATCCTGAAGTTTTATGTATATAGGTAGGTCATTTTTTAAAAATGTTTGAGTCCATATACCATATATGTGTATGTGTGTACATATGTAATATTTTCCCAAAGTACATGAATAATAAAACTAAATATATTCATCCATGCAATTATAAGTAGTTTTCTTAAGTTTTCAATTGCTTCAAAATTATTAGAGTTCTAAAACTTTAATCACAGCGTTTTTGAAAAGGTTCTAGTTTTACCTTGAGCCCAGATACTAATCTCTTTTATGAAAAATATTTGGAGAATTCTGCTCAAAATTAACATTTCTTGAGTAAAAAGGACAGAGTCCTAAAATGGAGTCTATTGGGAAATATTTGATGTTGGCCCATACCACTGGTGTATCACACTTGAATGTGACTTAACACAAATAGCTGTGCTGGCATCAATGTGTTGAACCTTTGGATTCATTTGTTCTATGATTGAGGCTATGATTTATGAGCATGTAGCATGTAGTATTTACCCTCTTCCTGTGTGTTGTAAGGAATTTTCTGTGATGACATCTAAATTGTGTTTTGAATTCTTAGAGGAATTCACTGTTTTAAGTAATTGGAGCATTATATATAATACTAGTGATTCTTATTCACATTTATAAGAACTACAGTTGGCTGAAAATTCAGCATATCAGTTTTTACTTGACTATATATTATAAGCCTTAAGAGGATAATTATAAGCCTTAAGAGGATAATTCTTTAATTTTTATGGTAAGATTATTTTTAAATTTTATTTTTGCTAGCTTTCAGTTCTGCTTACTTTTTCCTATGGCCCATATGTTATTTCTTCTATTTTTTTAAATTATTCAAAATAATTTTAATTTATTTAATATAGACAAAAGCCACAATTGTTGATGCAATTCTGGTGTTGAAATTGATTAGATAACAAAGCTCCAACATTAAATTGATAAGTATAAAAATCAGTTTTTTTTCCCCTTTATTTTATTTTTTTTAAAGTTGTAGATTTAAAATTTTTTGGGCTTTGGTTTCAATTATACAATGATCAGATACCCATCCCTCCACCAGTGCCCATTTTCCACCACCATGGATAATATCCCTCCCACCCCCATCCCCCCTGTCTCTGTGGCAGGGCAATCCCCTGTGTTCTCTCTCTCCTTTTGGGTGTTGTGGTCTGCAAAAGAGGGATTGAGTGGCAAACATGTTCAGTCCATAGTCTACTTTCAACATGCATCTCCCCTCCTGGGAGGATCCTCCAAACATTAGAAATTGAGCTCCCATTTGACCCAGCAATACCACTCCTGGGAATATATCCCAGAGAGGCAAAAATGTATAGTCGAAGTGACATCTGCACTTGTTTGTTCATTGCAGCACTCTTTACAATAGCCAGAAACTGGAAGAAACCTGAATGCCCAAGAACAGATGACTGGTTAAAGAAACTTTGGTACATCTACACAATGGAGTACTATGTAGCTCTTAGAAAAGATGAAGTCATGAAATTTACATACAGGTGGTACAATATGGAAAGTATCATGCTAAGCGAAATGAGTCAGAAAGAGAGGGATAGACATAGAAAGATTGCATTCATCTGGGGGATATAAAGTAACAAAGTATGAGATTAATACCCAAGAATAGCTGAGATCAGCACCAGGAGGATTACTCCATAACTTAGAGGCCAGCCGGGTATCCTAGAGGAAAAATCAGTTTTTATGTGGAAATTGTTACATCTCATCAAGGGGTTAAGTCCTTTCCTAAGAACTTAACTAAGCTCTTTGTTAATAGTTGAGTCTCTGTTATTGTTTTTGTTGAGTTCAGTTGACTTCTATGTTAATTTCCCATGTAATTTGATGTGCTGCTATTGAATTACAACATTGAGGAGTTGTAGAAATATCATACAGCCTCGTAAAGAGCCACACGCTCCATAAATCTTGGGATCTATGGTTAGAGCCAGTGAGTTGATGTGATAGAGACTGTGGGTGGTGGTGTGGTTGCAGGGGCTTTCGGAAGTACTAGGGTTGGGGGAGCTGCCTGCCCCTCTCTAAAGACCCCAGAGTTCTCTGCCTGGGCACCAGAGAACCTAAAATTATTCGCAGTTTGGCGTGTCTGAATATGTTAGTGATAATGGTGGAGATGAGCTTTTGGTGTGGCTTCAGTGGTAAAGTGTG